GTATTCAGATTTTAATAAAAATATATTAAAAGCTATCAACGTTTATCAATAACCAAAAATGTTCTAAATGCCAAATATTTTTCAAGTAAACTAGGTCATTCATTCTTTTTCTTGAAACTTATATGACATTTCGTTTTATCACCTCTAAACATCCTTACATATATTTTTTATTTATACAACAGTATTTATTTTTTTTCCTTTTGGCTATTTCTCGTTGGCAATATCTTCCCTCAAATATTCTTATGATCCTGACGCTGTTACACCCACTCAAATGCTTGACTGGAGCGATTGAAAAAGTTTAAGAACAAGAAGAATGTCACATGAAATCAAGGAAGGAAAAACATAACTGAAAGCGATCTTTAGGCGTAGCAAAATGGAAGGGCATCATGCTACATTTTTGCAATTGGGATTTTTCAGTGCAAAAATACATAAAAGAAGTAAACAATGCATTATTTACTGTTTATTTTGACTAAGATAGCTCAAAATTTCCTGTAACTAATTTAAAAAGATAATGAACTTAATTTTAAATTAATTAAATTGAGTAGTACGTTAAATTTGTCCATCTGCGTATATAGAACACATTGTAATAATTATTAGTAATGGCGGCGATGTCAGGAAATTTAGTAACCAAATCTATTGGGTCCACTGAAGAAATTTTACAAAAAGGGCTATTTATTCATTTTTGTATTGAAATACATGAAACCGTCGGTGGGACGAATTGAGTTGTCAGAGCTTTGATATTTACTGCCAGCAGGTTTGCACAGTTTGCACTAATTGCGGCACTTATTGGCTTCGAATGTAATTTGACCGGGGTAGGGATTAAAAAATAGAGCCGCTTTTTTTTCCCCGGCGTAAGTTATTGTTGGTACATTATCACCGGTGGGCGGGAGAAGGGGACGATTTTAGACGACGTCCATGAATTGTGGATTTACACTGAGGCGAAAGGGGCGGCGCGGCGGGCAATGCGGACGAGAGCCTTAAAGAGTGAGACTGGCGCCAGGGGTGACATCAACGTTATTTATGCATTGGTATGACTGGCCGGGAAAGATTGCGATAAGCGTAGATAGATCTACCCCACTGGCAACGGCGTCCTGCGTTATCCGCCCTTTTCCCGGGGGGATGGGCCGAGCCGGCTTGATGACTTTTATCCACCCTTCGCAAGAAAACCCGTTTAACGACCTGGCTATTCCCAGCACCTAATTAGATTTGACGTTCATTTCATCCGGCGTTCACGACCAAATAACCCGTAGGCAGTCAATTGATTTCTTGATTTAGCATCCAGAAATTCACAACTGTTTTTAAACCCACATCTCAAATGTAATCAATTAAGTAAACTATTTCGTACTTCAAAATTACTTAAAAATTTTTTCTTTAAAAAGTTCCTTTCAAACCTGAAAAACTTTACTTTTCAGTTCGTTTATTATACAAAAATATTAATTGTACGGTTATTTTCAATAAATCGTGAAACCATTAAACTCGCTGAAGCTACGAATAATCGAATTAAATGTTTTCCTTTTTTCCGTTTCTGTTAGAATTAATTTTTTAATTGCTTACCGAGGGTGGTAGGGTTCAACAAGATGCGTCCTCGAATCACCTTGTATTAGTTCTAAAGTCATGCAATGCCCCCGACGGGGGGATGATATTTGTAAATATGGATGGTTCGAATACAGGGCCTGTATTTAAATATCTTACAGTGATGAGCGCGGTGCCAATGCCTTAATCGTTACCGCCACCGATGCTACTTTTTGGTGGATTATTATGTCAATTGTGTATTTGCAACTTTTTTGGTGTAAATGTGTGTCTAGTTTGATTTCCTTCTTTGTTCCTAAAGGAACTTCTGTGTTCCATCAATCGATGTAGTGGTGATGATGTTCTTGCAGAGATGTCTTACAAAACTGAAAAAAATAAAACTTCTTAGAAATTTTGGCAAAACTCATGAAACATATGAATACCATCCATGATTTAGCAAAAAACATTTTTTTCCTAACTTCTAAGGTCATTGCCGCTTGGTATTATTTAAAATTTAAGATTTTTCGAAAAAAAATTTATTAATTTCCATCATCCAGAACGAAATTTTTCTTCCTAATAAATTTTTTTTTAATACTTATATCCATGTATTGTTGTCTTAATAATGAACTTTTATTTCAAACCAGATAAACTTATTTATATTTAACATGTATATACAAATATATTTAACATAGTAGAGATGATGGAGGTTTTTTGTAATTTAACATGTGTAAACGTTATTAAATTTTGACTGCGTACCTGTAAGTTGTCAAAGAATCTTTGATACGTATAAATGAACGTAAAATCAAGTAAGATTGTTCTCTGTAGATCCTGAAGAAGTCGAAATATAGTCCAAATTTTGCCTATGTACTATTTCTTTTTGTGACCAAAATCCTAATTCAGGAAACTATAACATTAAGAAAGAAAGGTTAAATATTGTTGGAAAGACCACCAGGCATACGCATGTTATCATAATTTGAAAAATAGCAAAAAGGAGGGAACATTCAAAAAGTGGGGTTGAGATGGGAAGTTAGTGTCCGAGTGGATCGAGTTCACGATAGCTCAAGTGGTTGAGCAGCGGCGTATCTAGCCGAAGATCGTGAGTTCGAATTCCGCTCGTGCCATTGACTTTTTTATCTCAACTAAAAACCTTAATTAATTGTAAGATATTACTTGGTCATGCGGACCACGAAAACTAGTGAATTATAATTAAGGTAACATGTGGATATTTTAAATCTAATTTAAAGAAATATTTTTATTATATATAAAATTATATAGTATAAAAATATATATAATTTATTATATTCCACTGAAAAGGCATTATGAGGAGGGGTCTGTAACATTGTTCACGGAGGACCACCCGTTTTATTTTAGAGGTAGAACAAATAATAAAAATAAAAATTAAATAATTAAAATGAAAATGAAAACAAAAATGAAAACCAATAAAAGTAAATATAACAAAGAATGCTTACCCGATGTACAGCTTCATTTCCGTTTTTGGTAGAACGGCGAATATGCCAAAAGGCGTAGAAGAAAACTAGGTTTTAGGCACTATTTTCGGCTGCAGCGACTTTTGCTGAGTGAATTTTTGTCTTCTCGAATGATTCCAAAGACGAGCTGGGGTTTAAAACGATTGTGAAAGGATGGGAGTTCAACACAAAACAGCCTTACATGCCACGGACCTAGTAAGACTGGACTGAGAAATGACGAGGCAGCGGTTGGGCGGATTAACCCTTTGGCGGTGCTTTTGTAGATAAGTTGTATTAATAAATTAAACTAATTAATTTCACGAAAATAAAACTAAACAGGGTCAAAAATATCGAAAAGTACTGTACAACATTAGTTTTAAGTTTAGGTTCAATAACCTAAACTTCATCTAATATAATTTAAAAAACGAAACAAAAAATTAATTATGAATACAATTTTAGTTAATTGTAGTTAATTTAGTAAAACGTAGTTTAAAATCGCCTTAGAAAAAATTGTTCTTTCAATAAATCTCATGCCAATTATGACGTTAAAACTTCTGGAAAATTGAAAGTGAGAAGTTTACTTTTAAACTGTCCAGACTTTCCGAGGCTTCCCTCTCATCCAGCAGAAGTAGACTGAGAATAACCAAGAAACAGATTGGGAGTGTGCTCTTTGTTTGAAAATGACCCGTCAGATGAGTGGCAAGAGTTTCTGGCAGGAAAAGGCCTGTCCGCAATCTGCTAACCGAGGTCCGAGAAAGGGTACACATAGTGGAACGGTGAGTTCACCGATCCATGTAAACAACCAATCTAAATTATTTTCTACACTAGCCAAGAAAAATAACAACGAGACAACGGAAAGAAAAGTCAGAAACCTCTTTTTTTGAGAGAGGAACCCGTGCTCGACACCTTTCAGCCAGAAAATAAAAAATATCAATATATCTTTTCCTAAGGAAGTGTAATACAAATTAAACTTTCACTCTCTCAACACGACACGCAAGAATGGCACAATTACGCAGAACACAAGAAGATGATCTCAATAAAGATCGAAACGTTGGCACGATAAAGAAATGTTTTTCTGAAACCTAGTCACACCAGACCGCATCTCACGATTACCGAATAATCATCGACTAACGGTAACTGGTCACTAATCACCACATACATACAAATTAAAACAAAAACAGTTCTTATACAGCATTGATTCCTAAACCGTTAGTGGGAGGGGAGGGCCTGGTGAGCTTCTCTTGAATAATAGATATTATATACATACAAAAATAAAGAAAAAAATATTTAGACAAAATTAAATTATTATTAATTCAATCTTAATATTAGCGCTTCTCAATATAAAATTAAAAATAAAACTGCACTGCGGGACGTCTTTGCAAAACCAACCAGATCTTAACCTTACGGGAAACTATTTTGCAGATCAAACACGTTCACAAAACTTTGGTGGTTTCCAAAAAGAGAACCCGGAACTACAAAAGAATGGTACGTTAAGCCGAAAATATGGAAAAGGTCTTCTCGCGCACAGGAATGACACAGTAAGCAACGCTCAATAGAATAATCTCTCAGAGGGGAGAAATTAAGGTATATTAGTTCGCACCTAAGTTTAAACATAAATCGATAGTTGACAACTTTAGATTATCATTGGCTACGTCCAAAATTCCTTTGAATGTTCGATTTCCTTGTTAGAGCAGAAATGTTCTGGATCTAACACCCTATAGTATACAACTTTGAAAATCCCTACAACGAAAAGATAAAAATAAAAGCCGAGAACTTAGAGAAACAATCTTTTGTTTTAAAGGAGCACCCAAAGTTAATTCGAAAATTGGCTCTAATTATTTCAACCGCCGTAATTTCTGTACAGCGGGTTTTAAAATGCCGCTGGTCTTGTCTTTCGTAGATACTGATCGTAACACATGGTACAAAAATTTCTATGGAATCAATATGCTTCTCTATACAAAAATCAAGGATGAAGAACCTCTGTCATGAAACACCAATAATTTGTCTCACTAAAACTTGTTTCAGGTACCAGTCTCTTGGTAAAATGGGACAATCAGCTCGAATCTGAAACTCGTGGGAAAAGTAAAGCCACTTACGCAGTCTGCGATGTTGATCACCCGGCGAACTCCAAAGGATACAATGTCTCTTGTTTTCATGAAAATAACAAATTTAAAACAAAATTGTTGTTGGAATGTCATTTAGAAATTCGTCTCTATGAAACTTTGTTGTAATCAAGTCACATAGGAAATCTTAAAAATAAAAACTTCTTTTTTCTTCTACATCTAGTTATCTTAGGAACTACAATAAAAAAGTGTAAAATTTATTCCTGATTAAAATAACGTAATGAGAAAAACATAAAGACTAAAGAAAAAGTTTCTTAATTATTTTACTTTTACAATAGTAAATAGCGTCCGGGAATAAAATTACTGTGTTAGTTTTTATTTAGGTCAAGATACAAGACTTTACCATCACATCCCTGTCTTGTTCTCTCATATTTATGAAAAAGCAAAAAGCAATAACAAAGTGTTGTTATTTTCGTAAAATGGACGATAATTTTGATATAATAATTTTATATTTGATTTCCAAAAAAACCAATCAAAATAATATGTAATTTATGTATATTTTATTACGTATTTAATATATGCAAAATATCTGCTGATTTAGAACATAAATTTATACATATATATAAAACATAACTCTAATAATTTATAAAGAAAAAATAAAAATATATTTTACAGGTACATATATTACATGACCGACAGCTAAAACAAAATTAAAGATTTCCCTTGTAGGAGGTGACTTTTCTTGCTTTAATCTGTCTAAGACATCGAACATGATCAATTATGTACATCCGAACATTTTTTAACTATATGTTTAGATTTATTATACATTTGTATATTATTATAATTATTTTACATTATTGTACATATTTATGGTTAATTTTTCTCACTAATTTAAGTTTACCACAGTTAGAAACACTGGAAAGGACTCATGTCAAAAGGGTCGAAAACGTTTTGAATAAATAGAATGCTATAAAGACCGTGTTGTACAACTGTTCAATAACCTACACTTCATGAATTTCAAATTTTGCTCACTAGTTGGTAAAACATCTGTTAGTCAAATCATAATAGGAAACATCTGTTGAATGAATGGGTATCGTATATGCAAAAAAAATTCTCTTAGTCTAATGATATGCGATATTTATCTTAAGTTTATAATAGTGCTTTTAAGGGACTTCCAACATAATCGATTTCTTTTTTAGTTTACTTGTCTCTTGATAAACTGAAGGTTTAAATGAGCATACATAAAAATCCATGTTCGAAAATCCAAGTTCAACGAAATTTTTCTGCTTTGGTTGTACACATTGGTTTTTCTTTTTTATGGGCTTTGTTGAATTTTCCTTTTTTGTGCGTTTTTATTACGGTCAGTTGGTTTTTACAACTTCTGTATAGTTCTTCTTTTTTTCTTTTGTGTATGTTTAGTATAGATATTTTGTCCAATTATTCTATTTTGGTTGTTTGCTATGTTTATTCCCTCTTTTTTATGTGTATTTTTCTTTCTATTTTTACATTTTGATCAAGATAAAGCTGAGAAATAAATTTTCCCCATGACAAAAATTTGAATTTCTACATTAACCCATCCCTTTTCAGACCGTCACTTTTTCCCCATTTAGCGTAAAATGTCTGCATTTTGGTTGAATGTAATCAAAGAAAATTTTATACGGCTTCAAAGCTTGTGAAACAAGAAGTTGTTTTGAAATGTGCTAAGCTCTACTGTGTATGTTTCCAACAAGTTTGCAAATTTAGAGGTTTTTACAAATTTCAAATTGTGCATTTTATGAAAGATTTAGTGTTTGTTTTAAGAAAAATTAAATTGAGTTCTGAAAGTGTATCTTATTAAAACAGATTTAATGCTCTTTTCATGCCTTTTTTTGTGTTTCCTCAAAAATGAATAGTTCATGAGCTAGACGTAGATTTATAACGAAAACGGTAGATTGTTTTAGATTTTACATTATTATATAAGTGTGATGTTTATTGACCGTTAGTTAATGATTATTTGGAGATCGTGCACAGGACACACAAGAATGTCATCTACACAAAAAACAAATATTTTGAGCCCTAAAGATGATCTCAATAAAGATCGAAACGTTCTCACGATAAAGAAAATGTTTTTCTGAAACCTACGTCATACCAGACGCACCTAACGATCTCGAAATAATCATTAGTATGTATATAGTTATGTGTACTGTTTCTAACCAATTTAATCTTCGCTCATTTAGCAACACTGAAGAGGACTCCGGTCAAAGCGCGTAAACGTCTTGAATAAATGAATTCTCTCAAAGACAAGCTATACAACTGTTCAATAACTTACACTTTATACACTTCAAATTTAACCGGACAGTATGGTAAATATTCGGTTCGTTTAATTGAAATAGAAAAAACACTGTTGAGTGTGTACAGTGTATAAAAAAGACCCTAAAAAGATCTACGATTTTTCCAAATGTTTTAGCCTATATTCAGATTTTTGCCAGGCTATTTGGTTTGCAGTGATATTAGTGCTTTTACTGACATTTTGCTCCCAATCGATTTGGTTTTTAATTAATTTTGACCCTTGATAAACTGCATGAAAAAGAACGGATCCAGTAATGATCACTCTCCGCGATTTATCTATTTCAACATTTGCCTCCTGTCAGATTGTACAATTAAACACGCACTCCTGACAGGTTAATATGTTTTATTTGTTATAAACAAAACGCTGTTTTTTTTATTTGAGTCCAAATCAAAATACATACAATGAAAAGGTTTTATCTACGTCCACGACGTACAACCGTCAAATCCATATATTGAAAAAATGACAAAATTCAATTAACGATAAAATGTGCCAGTGATTATATATTTTCTTATAAAATCACGAAAGTAAAATTCGCTTGAATTTAGTTCTGATTCCTAGGTTTATCTGGGAAGGGAAACTGGCACGGCTAGGGACCGATGAAGGTAATATGCTTGCACGCCAACACCTCAAGAGGTTGACAGGCCTTTTACAAAACGAATCCTACTCGTCCTCGTTTTTCTTATTTTTTTATTTCAATTCTTATTTTGATTTAGTAAGAGCGAAAATGGTTTAAAGATATTGAATGTCTTTTATTTTTTGGACTGACATGTTTTCCTCTTCGAAATACAATTATGTAACACAATAATAACTTTATCTTACGGACATTTTAACAATTTTAATTAAATTACATATATAAAAATACATTTATTTTTTTGGAGCCTTATGGGTATTAAAATTAGAGATAACAAGATTCGTGATGTCTTTTCAAGGGGTTCATGGAAAATAAAGCTAGTTCATTTAAAACAAATCAACATGCATGTTCCTTATGTAATCTATGTTACAATAGTCTAGTTAATAAGTTTGGGACATTTACTTTGTATAATGTAATTTTTTGCATAAATAAAATATCACAGACTGTTCTTGTAGTGAATGTACATTTGTCACTAGTCTTAAATCAATAAATTTATTAATGTATTTTAAACTCAAAAGCTACATACTTAAAAAAGTCATTTTGAGTAATTTCTGTTTTAGTAACTTGGTATCTATAAATTCCGTGACCAGGCTGGGTAGCAATACTCCTATACTTGTATATTTTTATACCAGAGTGTACAATATTTAAACCAGTGAAGTTATCAAATTCAACATAATTCCTTTTTAAGGAGCTGAGAATTTTTAAACTTTTATTCCTTACCTGTTCAATACGTTCCTCAAAACTAAATTTAGAGATGTAAGAGACACCAAGATCTTTAACAGATTTAACACCATTTGGTTTAGTTACATGACTTATTTACACGCATTACGTAACATTTATTGCTACGTATTACCTAATATTATTTCATATTCATGTACAAGCAATTAAGTTCTTATTAAACGTTTTAATTATTTAGTTCCTTTTGAGTACTATCACAGCCGTGGTTAGAATTAATTTTTCATTTTTTTCTAAATTTTGTAATAAAAATAATTACACTCTGCGTGTAATAAATATCTGCCATGGTTAAACATTAAATCTAGTTAAAACATTTATATATCATTAATAAATAACAACCGGTGAACACCTTGAGATACACCTTGCCGAAATCTAAGGAACGATCTGAGTGTAATTTATGGTGGGATTTTGGAACAGACTCTTAAAACTTAACAACTCACATTATAAAAAAAGTAAAACCAGTGCAAATTATTTATCTATCTATTTACTTATTTAATGATTTAGGGTAGTTTTTTTCATCAAATGTATCGTGAAATTTAACTGTGATGTCAACCCCCAAATAAATTTCCTGAATAAAATTCCCCAGTATAATAGATGAATTAGGGTTGCGGTCAGAAACACAATACTTTCACATAAACGGATACACAACTTACAAAACTTCTCACACAGGACAAAGAGCCCAAGGTGGCACGGCAATCCTAGTCAGAAACACTATTTCCAATCACCTTCATCTCTCTGAAAGCACCGACTCCTATCAACACACATCAATTTCTATTTCCCTTCCTCAGTTCCCGATCATTTTGTCAGCAGTGTACTGTACTCCCTCAATCCCCATATATTATCACCAATTTGATTCTATTTTTCGACAATTAGGTTCTCGTTTTATCGCCGGGGGCGACTTTAACGCCAAACATCTGGCATGGGGTAGCAGAACCACAAATTCACGTGGCCGACTCCTACACAACGTTCTCGCTCCTCTCAATTACACTTACCTATTTCCGGATCAACCAACCTACTGGCCCAGTGATCAAAACCGCAGTCCCGACTTGTTGGATTTTTTCGTGACATCTGGTACAGGTTCCTTCTTTCCCTCCACCCAATCGTTAAACGACCTGTCCTCAGACCACTCTCCTGTGCTCCTCACTCTCGACACAACTCCCATTCATACACCTTCCAGACCTTCTTTAACCAACAACCCAGTAAACTGGAAACTATTTCAACATATCCTCAATAATACCTTAAACCTAAACATTCCTCTTAAAACTGGTAACCAAATAGAACAAGCTGTCAGTATTCTCACGAGTAAAATCCAACACGCCGCTCATTTATCGTCCTCCCCTCCCCGCCCTCAAAAGTCATCTGCAAATTCCCATCTTCCCGAATATATTCGTAAACTTATAACCTCCAAACGAAGAGCAAGGTTGCGATGGCAACGCCATCGTTACCCCTCTGATAAAGTAACATTTAACCGTATCACCTATGTTTTGAAACTCGAATTATCCAAATACCGTTCATCCCAATTCCAGTCAT